GTGTATTTTCATGTTCATGTTTCTTCATTCTTCTCCATATCTACTAGAATGGATTTATTAAAGAAAAATTGTTTCATGCGGGTTGGATCGCATTTCTACAATATGCGGTCTGGAGGTATAAAGCATCCATCTTAAAGATGGATGCAAATAGGTGGTTCACATAAAAACAATTGTAATAAATAGCCAAAATGTTTTTTTAATATAATTATTATTTCTAGTTCTAGTTTTTATTATTATTATTATTTTTCATATTCATGATCTCCATATTAAAAATTATATATTTTTTAAAAATTAGGATCAAATTATATTTAAAAATATATTTATTGCCAAGCCCGCATTTCTACAATATGCGGACTGGCCACATAGAAACAGAAGCCTTTTATTAAATGTCAACTCTCACACATTGCTTATTCATGAAAGAAAAGTTTTCTATGAGTCAGTGAGTGCAAGAGCCCGCTGGAACTTCAACGTCCATCTCGAAGAAGGATGTTGTGTAAAACACACTAGATCAAAGAAATACATGGACGGTGCCAAAAGTCCCAAAAGAAAAGCATATTTTTAAAGTTTAAAAATTTTGTTTTTTTCATATTCATGATCAGCCTAGATCATAAATCCCTAAAATTTAAGATCAAAATTACATCTTTAAGTTGGATTTGAAAGGGGGCTCACATGTGTAAATATGAGTCCGCTGACTTAAAGAGACCCCTTTCATATATTAATGGAAAAAGTTTATTCCTAAAGTGCACCTCAAAATCCCTCGGAAAATGCTGTTTCAATTTTGGACAACCATCTAATTGATCATCTCGACATCTAGATGTATGCATATGAAAAACAAAAGATTTTGAGTCCCAAAAATAGTGAATCTTGTAACACATTATTTGGACTGTCAATTTTCAAGATTTTCATATGTTTATAGATCTACTCGATTTAAACTATTTTTTAGAGTTTAAAATTTTATAATTAGAAATAAATATATATTCGCAGGCCATCCTAAGAATTTTGTACCCCAAAATTACATTTAACGATAAAATTTGAAGGTGCTCCTTTCTTCGATCGATTAAGGTTGCAATCTTATGCAAACCACACCCTATTTAATAAGAATACAGTTTCTATAAGGTCTAGGCTTTATGAAAATAAAGTAAAGTCTTACCTCGAATTCTCGTCCAAAAAGTATTTTGGGCATCGAAAATCTCTATGATGGCTTTAAAATTAATTTCCACTACGAGCTATGAAATTTGAAGAGAAAAAATTGATAAAGATCTTGCACGTGAACACTTATATTTAGGGTGAAATAGACAGCCTAGCTAATGTATTATAATATACACTATTTTTAGAACTTTAAAACCTAGATTTTTTTTACCACCATAATGGTCAAGGCCTAGATGATCGATTTGAAAGACTTCCAACATGAGAACTACAATTTTTTTCTGAATTTTGAGGTGCCCTACCAAACTATTTTCCTATTAATAATGGACTTGAGGGAAAAACTACTTTCCCTAACTATTTTCCTATTAACAATGGACTTGAGGCAAAAGCTACTTTCCCTAGCGAAGGTTGAGGCAAACCATTATCACAACCTTTGTCTGCCCATGCCATAACAAGAGATTCTACTTTAGGTTAGTGAGGGAGCGGAGACTTTTATAAAGATAGGATGAAGGTCATATGAGAAAGATAGTGGAGCCTCTAGTTCGACTTTACCATCGGATAATAATAAAAAAAAAATTATTATAAAGAGAGTATTTATTTTTTGTACATAGATGTCACAATCATTATTGTCTTTTAAATTTCAAAATGGGTGATTGTAACGGGTCATTGAATAGATACAGAGTTCCAAAAAACAATTTCTTAGACTTCATAACTCACCCCAAACGGTCTAATTTGACATCTAATGAGAAGAATGATTGTGACCTTCATGCACGAAAGATAAATGTCTATTTGTAGACAATCCCATATAAAAAAAAAAAAAGGTAGTGGAATCAAGCTTAACAATAATATTGGTCTCTCAAACTCCTCTCACAATAGCTATACTATCTCCTCCATCTCAAGTCCCTGCTCAACCTATAGGAAAGTCACACTTTTCCTATCCTCGCTTGAGAGAGAAGGAGAGAAATTTTTTTCATGTTTCCGAGTTATTTTCTATATTTGGTAGAATGATGCATCGATATTCAATTTCGAGAAGTTGCTTGTTTAGGGAAAGGGGTTGGGGTCGTGGTAATAGCAACCCCACCCCCTAGTAATCACGTTTCATGTTGTAATTTCCAATTCTACTGACATCCTCCACTAACACCTTTAAAAAAACTTAACTCTTAAACTATTTGAAAAAATGAATAAAGCATCCCTTTGTCACTGAATTACCAAAAAATTTAGAAGTTGATTATTTATTAATGATAGATTGAAGGGGCTGAAGTTACTTTCAACAAGAGAAAATAGTTTCTCCCATGGAACCGAAAAGCCTGGGGATGAACCTCCATTTTTTCTCGATTAAAAGGCCCCATTGACCATAGTGGAATCCCTAATTTCTCTTTCTTTCTCTATCTCTATCTCTCTCCATCGATCCGCAGGAGTTCAGAGAGAGAAAGAGTACAATGGGATGGTACGTAAGCAGTGAGAAAGAAAGGGAGATGGATAGTGGAAATGAGAGAGAAAGAGAGGGAAAGGTAAGGGCATAATCATGTTTAATGTCTTGACTCCCTGAAATTGAGCTATTTAACATTTTGATGTAATTTGCTAAATTTGAAAACTCATTTTGTCACTTTTATATGTCATTTGATGGACTATTGAAATTGTATAGTAAAAGATGGATAATTATGTTAAATACTTCAAATCTTAGGTATAGTTTGACAAATTTCCTTAAACACTTAGCCCATACCTTTTGGATAATTCAAAGAATAAAAAAAATAAAGAAAAAGGACTTGATCGTAATATAAAACTTATGCGGGATCATTTTAAATACCATAAAATAAAGAATGGGAAATTTATTAAAATACTTCTAAGAGATGAACTTTTTAATAATCATTTAAATCTTTTCCTTTAATTTCAGAAATTCCATTAGGACAATTATGAACACGAGTCAGTAGTTAAAAACCAGTAAAATGTTAAATGAATAATAATTTTAGTTCATTTTAATAACTTTTCTTAAAAAAAATTTGACATTAATTCCAAGACAATTTGACGTAATTGTCTAACTTACCCCAAAATAGTGAAGAACAGAAGTGGCAGTTGTTTAGTTTTTGTCTTTCTAGTAATTAAAACAACAATAAACTGCTTTCCATGTAAATGGTTGATTTTAAATTTATAACTCGATGGGGTTGCAATAAACATAAATTAAAATCAATTAAAATAAATGAAACAAGCTTAACTGAACATTGGGTCACTAATCCGATTTGGATCACCGATTTTTTAAACATTGGGTTAGAGAGAAAGAGAGATCAACTTCGTTAAGCAAAATAAAAAGAGATAAGCAAGGATCTTAGATTTGTGGGAAACCAGTCCTAAAGAGATGGTTCATTTAATTCGATTCAAGCTTCAATTTTATCTTTCCTATAGAGAGGTTTTTTAGCTCACCACAACATCGACATGTTTGGTTCAATGGAAAGACGACCACCCATAAGAAAGCACTTTCCTACATACCATCATGCCAATGTAAAAATAACATAAATGTATTTCGTGCTTTGTATGAAATTGCTTTGCCACAAACAGGCCTTACAAATGAGAAACTCTCTTAAAGAGTGAGTTTTTCATCAAATGTACCTCAGTGGTCATGTCATTGGGAATTTCTCCATGAGTGGTATTCCTTATTAGCGTTCCTATAACTATGGCAGATATTTCTCACATTTCATAGAGCGGTGTGCCACACAAAGATTTTTTTTTCTCGGAGAGATATATAGCACTCTAGCAGTGTGCCCCATGAAGTTTTCTGGATACATATATCTCATGAACCAAACATGAGAAAGCAGTGAGGTCAACATAAATCTCTCTCTTAGATAGAGATTTTCGAGAAGCCAAATTTAGAATGCGTTATTTTTGTAAGCTTCTCAAGGACCCCTAACTTGCGGAATCGAGAATCCCAAATATCGGGATTCCACCCAAGATCGTGTGCATGATTGGCTAAATGCAAAGTAGATGAATACAACTATAAATTGAGTACAAGAAATAAAGCAAACATAAAAATCACACCACAACAACATACGTTTTACGTGGTTCACTCTATAAATCTACATCCACGGCCTCGGCAAATAGAAATCCATTATATCAATGAAGATTACAGTTTTGGATTACAAGAGATAATACCTATCCCTAAACATCGGTAAAGTACCACCACTGATTTTCCCTTCTAAACCCGATCTCCGACCAAGCAACATCGTCAATCTCTATCTTCTTTCTCACCACAATATCGCTACCGGAAAGATAACCATAAGAGCAATTGAAAGATTTTCTCTCTGAAAATGGAAACATTACCAACCTAAAACTCATGGGAATACCGCCTCTCTCTCGGATGCCATATGTCTCTCTCTCTTGGAGACCCACCTCCATATTGGACATCCATTCCCGTAACTCCCCCTTAAAAGTATAAGATATTATGTCTTCATTGAGTATTTTATATAGATATCACTTTCTTGCTTATCAAAAAAGTCCATTTTTTTTTACCATAATGCCATTAATCTTTAGAAAAAAACACGTCTATAGTGATTTGGCTATCACCAAACCCGACAACTTTTCCATAGACTCAAATGATTACTCATCATTCGTATCTGTATTCATATCCCTCTAAGTGTATCAATGCTCATTAGAAAAGAGAGTAGAAAAAAGATATTAGAAGCATAAATATCAAGCACAACATTTGAACATGATTTTTTCCATAAAATTAACATTTAAAAGGAACTCAATGATGAGTAATTTCCAACATTCCATTCCATGGTAAACAAGACAAAAAAAACAAAGGTAAGGCACTCATCATGTAGCTAGTTTCTAGGGAAGAAAACTATATTCTCAATGGTGAATATCTCAAGAATTCAAGGTTCAATTCTCAAAATCAGAGCATAGTGCACAATAGTTCCCCTCCTAGAAATCAAAAATGAGGAGACAGGAGAAAACAGAATGAAAACAACAATTCATAGTCTTATTAAGTCTTGTAAAGCCCACCAAGTGGACTTTAGTTTAAGCTGACAAGGAGTTGGCCACATCAATAACAAAGCGATATCTCACATCAGCATTAGCCAACCTCTCCATGGCAGTGTTCACATAGTCTATCTTTATAACCTCAATATCAGCAGTGATGTTGTGTTTTCCGGCAAAATCGATCATTTCTTGTGTCTCTTTCATCCCACCAATGTGGCTTCCTCCTATAAGCTTCCTCCCTACGACAATAACCAAGTAGAATCGGTCATATCCCAACCAGTGAGGCTTGATTTTTCTAATAGCTTAAGGTCTTTGGCGTGTTAGTCGAAAGTAGTGGAACCCTAACAGTACCCTCAGTTATACATATGACTCTGAATGAAATGAAAGAAATAAAAAAATCAAATAAGACCTACAAGAGAGAGAGATAAGGACACTATTTCTTACCAAAAATTAAGGGGAAAACAGGAAATTGGAAGGCCTGTTCTGGCAGTCCCACCATAATCAGTTTTCCGTTGGCCTTGAGTAAAGAGAACAATGGTACCAATGGGTGTTTGGCGGAAACTGTGTCGAGGATATAATCCATGGTACCCATAGCAGCCTGAAGCAAAATTAAACAAACAAAAGCAACCATAAATATGGAATGGACTTCATATGTATAAACAGATCAAAGCATACAATGTTCTTGGCAGTAATCCATCCAACTAACTAATAACTAGGAGGTGTTTGATGAATTATCCAGCTTTAAACATGGATCAAAAGCAATTGCCAAAAAGAAATCATTCACAACATATAATTACCATCAAATACATATCCAAGACAATCATTTACCCATATATTACTTACTAGTTAAACAACATGGAATTAAAAGTATTTCGGTTTGATTTCTTACCTGCATTTGCTCAGGATCGCGGCTCACTAGAAACTTATCAGCACCAAGTATCTCGATAGCCTCTTTCTCCTTGCTAGGAGATGTACTAATGACTGTAATTTTGACCCCAAAAGCCTTGGCAAACTTTACAGCCACATGACCAAGTCCACCAAGCCCAACAATCCCAAGATGCTTACCAGGTTCTGCAAGGCCATAATATTTCATGGGGCTATACGCAGTGATCCCTGCGCATAGCAAAGGAGCAGCAGCATCGAGAGGTAGGTTTTCAGGGAAACGAACAACATAACGCTTGTCAACAACGAACTTGTCTGAATAGCCACCATAGGTTATAGTGCTATCATAGTTGATTGAGTTATAGGTAAAGATCCCTTTGGGGCATAGATTTTCAAGGCTTTGCTCGCAAGCCTCGCAAGTATGGCATGCCCCAACCATGCACCCAACCCCGACTTTGTCACCCACCTTGAACTCCTTCACATTGCTTCCGACCTCTGTTACCATCCCTGCTATCTCGTGCCTGTCAAGGATTGTTTATTAGAATCTGCATTTTACAAATTCAAAATAATATTTTATGAAATTTATGAAAAAAATTACATAAAATTAATTAATCCAGAGAACATATGGAAAGAAACTCAGTGTGTGCTATCATATATGACTCATGGTTAAGGTTCAAGTTACTGCTAAGGTGATGAGGATATCGGGTTCTAATTCCAGAAACTCATTGTAACTCTTCTGAATTTAATCTTTTTCAGGCCTTTCATATTCAACATAGCTAAAGAAGTTAATCAAAGAATAGCAAAATTGACAAAAAAAGAATTAATGCAACCAGAAATCATGCCACTTGATTTCAAAAAGGGTGCGGTTTATATAACGCTGAGGCCCTACACAATCAAAGTAAGGCGCAATGTTGAAAGATGTTATTTCAGTACTAGAGATCTTATTGATGGCCCGGAAATATATTTTCATCTCTAATTATAAAATTAAAGAATTAAAAATATTATAGATTGAGAAGATCAATGAACCCTTGATAATCGTGAAAATTGGCCAGAAAATGTGTCATATGATGCACTATTTTCAAGACTAGAAATCCATTTTTTCTCATGCCTATACATCTTAAGGTCGAGATGATCGATTTGAGGACTTTTGGGCATCGAAATAACTTCTTCTACTGAATTTTTGAGGTGCATCTTAATTTGATTGTTTAGGGCATCGCCTTATATAAACTTTTTCCAATATTTTGAAACTTCCACTTAGTAGAGGTGAGCTTGGAATCAATGTAGGGGAGTAAACACACATGGAAATCGACAAAAACTATGTAATAAATATCAATATCTAAAAAAAAGAAAAGAAAAAGTACAAAAAAATAATCCTAACTATCTGATATTTGTGAATTGTGGGGTTGGTAAGTCAGCTTACACACATTCAAATGCCTATCGAAAATTGCCAGATTGGTAGTCTCAACCACTATGATCATGAATCTAAAAACACAGATTTTGAACCTGAAAATAGTTTATCATAAATCTTTTTCTTTTTTCTTTAGTGGTTCAAGTTAATTCTCCACAGGTCATCATATCTGTAGTATTTTCTAAGCTGCAAAAATTGTGGATCTATAACAAAACTATGTCTAGAGTGACTTAAGATATGTTGCAGTTCCTAAATCTATAAAAATCCAAAGTGAACACATGCAGCCAGAGATGCACAAACTATCAATAAATATTCAGCCACAAAAAAAAAAAGAAAAAAAGGAAAAAAAAAGAAGGTTGGCCGTAATTGTTTCAAGATTTTATTTCTCCATATGTGCACGGTAATACTTTTAATGAAAATTGTGGCAGTGGTACCACATTATACTCGAATGTGTTTGCTTGCTACGAATGCATTAAACTACCGAAATTATTTGTTCGAAGACCAATACAACAATTTAGAGAAGGTAAACCTTTAGATATGACTCCACCCACATAAAGTATATGAGACCCCTGCTCTCAGCTGTCTGATAATAGTAAAATTGGCTCTTGAACATTAGATCTTGATACGATGGCTTATTTTTAATTTTTATTCTATGAATCAGTGTACATAAAAATTTGGACCGCACATACATCTAACAGGGGCACACACGATAAAAATAACAAAAACATATTTATATGATAATAATTACCAAAATAACTTAAAGTTTTCAGGGGCATTTTAATCCTTTAATTCTATAAAAAAATAATGCTTCTCCTTTTTGCTAGGTGCACCTCAATAAAAAGGGGGACACTCCAAATTTCACTTACAAACATTTCCTAGAAAAAAAGATTAAAAATTCAACATTATTTGACATGACATTGTAAGATGAGTAATCCCCTGCATCCGTTTAGATGGGGCATTCGAGAAACGAGGTTACATATATTTCATAAATAGGCGGGGTCACATATAAAGCTTTCCTATAAAGATATCATGCCTCACGGGATTTATTGAGGATGGTTAGATACTTCTCACCGTGCACCACCCAATTTAATGGAAATTACATTTAATGGACATTAATATGTTCCTTGTATAGTTTTTTCCTCCTTAATTACTATCCATAAATTTCAAAATTTCCCCTACTAAAGATAGTAAATTAGTTAACTTACGGTTGACATTTGGCTTGAGTTTATTGTTAAGCAATATGACGAGTTTAAAACTTAGGAAGTTAGCATTTCCAAAAAATTATAATATTTATTTATTTGTTTTCCAAAAAAAGGCATTTCACTAATTGAAAATAAGGAAAATAAGAAAAAATTTTTATAACACAACATGAAGCAAATCTAATAAGTTATTGGAATATTGACAAAGGAAAAGTTTGTGATGCACCATTGATTTATGGTAAATGGTGCAATATAAAGGCATCATCATCGTCTATGTCATTATCAACGTCAAAGACTTTTCCCAACTAAATGTAGTCGGATATACGAATCTTGACTATTTCTTATATTTTTTCTCACTACTCCAAACCATATTCTTTTGGCCCTGTACCATCAGTGTATGTGTATAATACAGTAATTGACTAAACACAAAAAAAAGGACCAAAATGGGGTGAGCTTTCACTTACCCTGGCACAACTGGATAGATGGCGTTTCGCCATTCATTTCTAATGCAGTGAAGATCAGAATGGCACATCCCACAGTACGCAATCTTTATCGTTACGTCTTCTTCACCATTTGCCCTGAAATGAACCAATAAATTCCAGAACTATTAAATAGAGTATGGTCTTCTATCACCATCATCAAATCATTATTTCAATTATTTGGAGTGGGCTACACAAATATTGTTTCTCTTCAGAATTTATAAAAACTTATATCAAAATTTCAGGTTGGTTGTCTACATAGCACAACCCTCTTCTTTAACCCCGGCTTGGGACCGATATGAGCTGCCCGGAGGAGTTGACATTAGTCCATCAAATATAATAACAGAAAATTAGTTAAAAAAGTCAACAGAACTTCCCTACGCTTTTGAGTCAAATATAAAATAATATGTGGCAAGAAGTGATAAAAAATATTGTAGTATAGGCAAGAAGCAATACCCTGAAACAGTACTGTAAAATAGGTAAAAACAGTTGCGTTAGATGTCAAAATCAACGACAAAAAAACTTATATAATATAGAATATGGTAAAGGACATCTACCCTTTAAAACCGAGTTGGTCTGAGCACAATGAAACAATATAATATGCAACAGAAACTATAAAAAGTAACCGGGATTGGTTTATGAGAAAAAAAACGAAAAAGAAAAAACGAAGACCCAATAATGGTTAAACAAAAAAAAAAAAAAAGAAAAAAAAAAAGAACTTGTCAAAAAAAAAAAAGACACACAGATCTAAGTACGGACGAAGCATTATAAATTGATGACATCAAGGGCATCCACAAGTACGAAAAGACATGAAAAAAGATGAAGACCCGAGTCCTCATCAATCGCAATTGAAAAAGCCAAAAAAAAAACGTTTATGAACACTCAGCAAGCAAGGGTTTTTTTTTTTATTTCTCTTATATTCTAGTTTTCATTCCCACTCACACCATCCCACTTATACATTCAAAAAACTAACTCAAATGTTGTCATTGTTAATTTCTATAAAAAAGTTTCATATTTTTTTTGGTAGGTGGGGAGAGAGCCTCTACCCTGGGTTGAAATTGAGCTAGTATGCAAATCGTCAAGCGCTAACTAACTAAGCCCGAGCTCATTTCCGTTTCCAGAAGTTATTGCTATTTACTGCTATAATCTTTCGAATATCAACAGGGAGAACAGATCATTCGTCTAAAAGCTTGAATAAGGAAGATTAACGTGAACCAAAAGAACTCGAGAAAAAATAAAAAAAAAAGGCACCCAAAAGAAGAAAACAAGGTACCTGCGAGAGAAGTTGAAGGGAGATAGAACACCAGAGGCATCCCTTGCAGCCCAACCCACAACCTTTTGAGGGTGCTCGTTTTCTGGAGAAATCGACATTTTTTTAGAGAGAGAAAGTGGTGAATGTATTCTCTTAGAGAGAGAAAGTGGTGAATGAAGTCTCTCTTCCCTCCTTACTTATCAAAAGTGGGGAATGAGTCTCTTAAGCAAAAGTGGTGAATGAATTCTCGCTTCTCTCTTTTAATCAAAAAAAATATCACTACTCTCTATTTATCAAAAGAAAAACTCTCTCTCTCTCTCTCTCTAGATGGGAATGAGGAGCAAAATAGCATATGGTCCAGAAGGGTGGTGTGGTATTTGTACAGGAGGAGAGCGTGGTGCTTAAATGGCCACCGCATGGGCACACACCTAGTATTCGACGCATGCGTTTAAATGCCTCTCCTTTCCAAAATCTATCACCAGATTTTGGTTCCAAATTTTTTTGGACCGCAATGATTAATATGAAATTACTAAATAAAAGTAATCTATCTTGAAAATTTTTTTATTTTATTTTAGTAGTAAAAAAATCCATCTTTGAGAAAGTTAAGTCGTAACGACTTCAATGTAGTTTTAGACTATCACATACCCTTCTTTAGCCAATTTTGGGATCGAAACCAAAATACTTCATCATATAGGGAGTATAAAATAAGTGCTTTAGAATCACAATTTTCTTTTTTTTTTTTGACAATGTTATTTATTGATCAATCACAAAAATTACAACCTTTCAGAAAGTAAAAACATCTGAAATAAACAATGGATGCAAAGACACCCCTCGTTTTGTCAATCCATGATAAATGTCATTAGCTTCCCTATACATATGCTGATAGACCCTCGCACATATCTATAATATCTAGCCATTTCCTCCTCAAATTCCAAGGTGGTCTTGAAGTCTTTTTACACCAATTAATCACATTTAAGGAATCCCCCTAAAAAATGCATGGCATCTTGATATTTTCCTGATGTAGAATCTGAATTCCACACTCCAACGCAGCCAATTCTGCCTTATTACCTGTTACTTCCCCACATGAGCCAGCAAAACAAAAGATCACCTCTCCATTTGCATCACGCAGAATCCCTCTAACCCTAGATAGGCCTGAGTTTCCTAATGAGCTCCTATCAAAATTAAGTTTGATAGTCCTTATTATAGGAGGGATCCATCTACCTTTTGGTCTGACTTTCAACACATTATGAAGCATCAAATTATGCAAATTAATCTCAACATCTAGGACCACAATCTTCTAATTCTTCATTTCAAGCCCATAGTCCCTAATGCTCAATACTTTGGGGCCAGTTTGGGTGTACCTAAAATTGCAATATTTTCCAATGACAAGAAAAAAAGGATTGAGATAGCAACTGGAACCGTTTTGATAACCCCATTAGATTTTATTCCCCAACAAAACAGATTATGATGCTAAGCCAAATTTGCCCAAAAATGTGAGCGCTCAATTTTTTTTTTCGCTTCCTCTTCGCGCCTTTCCCCCAAACCTTCCCTCTTTGAGTCACACTTACAAAACCCTCTCTCCCGCTCTCAAACAGGTCTCACAGCTCTTTCATTCTTCACGCCCTTTCCCCAAACTTACCTACTATGAGTCGCACTTATAAAAGTCTATCTCCCACTCTCAAGCAAGTCTCACAACTCTTTCCTTCTCTCATTTTCAACGTTGCAGATCCCATCTCCCAGTACTAGTTCGACTTTCTCTCTCTAAGAAATGAACATTTCAATCTTTCTATCTCTAGAAAGCCGTGCCCCTAATTTCCCAGGGCTCTCCCTAGCATTTCAACGGGTTGCTGGAGAGTTATTTTTTTGCCATTTTCGACTGCTCTATGGAGATAAAAAATATGCAAAACAGTATACCAACATAAAGAAAAAATACGAATTTAGAATTTATTGCAACGCATCCAAACATACATATCTGGCAAATAAATTTTTTTTCTCATATTTTAATAGACATCTAAACAGTCTAACAACATAATAAAATAAAACGATAATGTTTCTCAATTGAGGAGGAAAAAAATGCATTTTTTTTCAATGTGAATATTTTTTTCTTTGACATTCAAACTGGGCCTTGGTCTTTGGTTTTCTATGTTGCTTGTCCAACCTCACAGGTTTAAAGTTATGAAAAGCGTCTTTGGTCTTTGACACATGGGTCGTAATACTTAAGTCAAGATACTAAGATGTGTACTTGAGATCGACTAGGATGCTCTCAAAGACAACACAAGCATATTCTTTATTCCCGCCATTGTTTTTGTTAAACATACAATTCTTAGCTATACGTCCAACTTTCTTGCATATAAAGCTATGGCCCCCATATATTTTAATAAATTTAAATTTATTATTATTTTTTAAAAAATAATAAATATTTTTATTTTCTCTTTGAATTATTAAATACCTGAAAATGCAGTTTAAGCTTATTAAAAAAATCAATTTGAAGAAATAAAATATTGAGAGACTTCTAAAAAATTAATAGTCTAAATATTATTTATAATTTATTTAATTATTTTCAAATTAATTTTATGGGAATCGGATCCATCTTCGTTAGAAAAATGTAAAAATACTGAGAAACTCCATCTCTACTAGTGACCATGTCTCACATTCATTCAATTGACCTAGTAATTCCTATAACTCACACTCTATCGCATTGGTTCATGATTGTGCTATCAAAGCCAACCAATAAATGATAAGAATACAATCCTAGTCTATGGACTACAGGTCCCCCTAGGGACAAGCCTATGTCACACAGACCTATTCACACATATGGTAATTGGTGCATGAGGGCTATCTTTAGTGTATATACATGCAACATCCTAAATGGTGTTCTCTTCTCAGTATAACTATCATATGTAGATGTCGTGTGATGGTCTATGATGATAGTTTGACCCTTGTCCATTTATGCCTATCAATCACACAATCTCTTGGCTAACTATCCTGGACATCTCACTGACCTTATTAAGAGATCACCATGCTAACCATTCTTTATTTATTTATTTTTTTTAACATAAAAATTTGGTAACTTGGTGGGGAAGACAAGCCCTTTCAAGTAAATTAGAAGTATGCTAACCCTTCTTAGTTATGCTAAATGCCCAGGTATTATAGGGTTTTAGAGCTCAACTGGCCTAGCTCATCAAGCCTAGTTTGAATCTAGGCATTAGCATTGCCAACTTCGATACCTCTGGACTATACTCTCACTAAAGTTCATTGTTCTTCTATCATATAATTCATTACATGCTCTCATAAGGCATTTAAATGGCCACAAAAACAGAACAATATCTCCACTTTGTGTACCTAACTCTAATTCTATGTGTGTCAACTTTCTTAATCTCTCAATTTTGTTAGATTATTGACCAAGATATCGAAAGTGTGTTCCTTTGTCTTTCTTGATAAAGTTGAGAAATTTTAAAACTCATTTCGTCACCTCGATATGTCATTTGATAGACAATTGAAATTGTATATTAAAAGATGGATAAGATATTAAATAGTTCAAATCTTGGGTATAGTTTGACAAATTTCCCTAAACACTTATCCATGCCTTTTGGATAATTCAAAGAATAAAACAATGACAAAAAGGGACTTGATCATAAAATGGAACTTATGCGGGATCATTTTAAATATCATAGAAAGTACTCTTAAGAGATGAATTGTTTAACATTTTATTTAAATCTTTTTATTTAATTTCAGAAATTACATTAGAGCAATTATGAAGATCAGTCAAGTGGAGTTAAAAACCAGTAAAATGTTAAATAAATAATAATTCTAGTTCATTTTGATAACTTTTCTCAAAATAATTTTGATGTAACTTCCCCCAAAATGGTGAAGAACAAATATGACAATTGTTTAGTTTTTGTCTTTCTGGTAATTAAAACAACTATAAACCGCTTTTTATATTAATTATTGATTTCAAATTAGAATAAAATAAATTAAACAAGCTTAACATAATATTGGGTAACTAATCCGTTTTGGATCACTGATTTTTTAAACATTGGGTTAAACATTAGGAAACTATTATACTCATGACATTGGTGGAATATATATTTTGCATTACGAGCTTAATAAAAAAGCAGAGAGAGAGAGAGAGAGAGAGAGAGAGAGAGAGAGAGAGAGAGGTAGTATATATACTGTCTACTAGTACGTACTAACTAAAACTAAAACAAGAGAGAGAGAGAAGAACGTACTACGTAACAAACAAAAGAAAGAAGTAAGTAGTAGTAGA